CTTTGAGACGTCTCGAAGAGTTGATAAGGCGCTGTGTCAAATGCAAGGATTATTATTAGTACTATTCTTATTATTGCACAACTGTACTAATTTTTCCAGTTCATCTTTTGTAAAAATCTATTTTGTTGATACCTAAGTTTGGGAAATAAAATAGATACCGTTGCTAAATCTTGACCGAGATAGAATTTCTCTTTAAAATATCTTGTTACATATCAGAGAATTGTTCCTCGCACTTGATTACTTCAGACGTTGCATGTACTCAGCACTCAAAGGATTATAGAAAAAAAAGTTTCTTTGTAATAGATTACCAAGGACATGTTATGTACTTCTGTTATAATAGATGTACTGTCTTATTATGGAGCTACAATGAGATTTGTTGTGGAGTTTCTTGGCTAAGGAAGTGTCAATTTGTGGATTTGGAGATAAACAAAACAATATACTGGTGATAGCTGTTGTGTAGTTTGTTCGTTACTTTGCAGTTATTTTTAGCCTTCATATTCAGTGATTTTCAAACAAAAACTCTTCTTCCTCACTCAACGAATCATTACACATTAAACTCAATGGACAGGAAGCCTAACCATCAAAATGCCATTGACGTCAAGGCTACTGACACTCGGAAAGAGGGCCTTTGCCGCCAGGGAAGAAAGAAAAACCAGAGTTGGAGGCTGAGAATCTGTATCTTTATCTCTGCTCGACACCGAATGAGGGGAGAATGAATTTTCTTGCTGTTTCCTCCATTGAGAATGAACTCCAGAGATGTTGCAGTGATTGAAGTTTTTGCCAGGTGGCTATTTAACAAGGTTTCTATTTTGTAAACAATACAATCGATGATAATAATAATAATCCTTGCATTTGATATAGCGCCTTATCACGTCGTCAAGACATCTCAAAGCACTTCACAGAATACACCATAAAGTGACTTGATGGTATATTTTGTGGGCGAAATGTAGCAGCCAATTACGCACAGCAGTGTCCCACAAACAGTCTTGTAGCTTACTGGTTAGAACACTCAACAACAACAACAAGATTTCATTTATAGAGCGCCTTTCACGTCGGGAGGACGTCCCAAGGTGCTGGACAGTTGGGTCAGGACCCGAGCATTGGGGGGAATGGTCAGGGTGAGGGGAGGGAAGGGAGGGAGCGAGGAGGAGGTAGGACAAGTGAGAGGACCCGGGTTCAATATCTGGACAAGACAAAACCTTAGGCAAGTTTACTTACTCCACATGCCTATGTTTAGCAGTAAGTAGGAGCCCAGTCGTCAGTTTTTGGTGGATCGCTTTCTGGGGGTAATAATCCCTCTAAAAATTAAAGAAAGAAACAAATCATAATAACAATAATCCTTGCATTTGATATAGCGTTTCTCATATCTTCTCGACGTCTCAAAGCGCTTCACAGAATAGACTGTAAAGTGAATTGACTGTATATTTGTGGGCGAACGCGGCAGCCAATTGCGCACAGCAATGTCCCACAAACAGTCGTGGATTAAAAATGACCAATTTATTATTGTTTTGTTTTAGAGGGATTATTATCAGGCGTGTGGAGTAAGGAAACTTACCCAAGGTTTTGCCTTGCCTGGAATTGAACCCAGGTGTCTCGCTTGCTACTGAGCTACAGGACTCCACAAATAAACAATTTGGTCACTCAATCCACAACTGTTTGTGGGACACTGCTGTTTGCAATTGGCTGCCCTGTTTCACCCACAACAGACACAGCCAATTCACTTTACCGAATATTCTGTGAAGTGTTTTGAGAGGTCTTAATGGCACGATAAGGCACTGTATCAAATGCAAGGATTATAATTATAAGGTTCTTACCGGCTCATTACAGTGGCGGCAAAGGCAAAGGCCCACAACTCAGTGCAGAAAAACATCCATTGTTTGTGACTTGTATCCTTCTCGCCCTTTGCTCAGGTTCAGCCCATGAATAATTAAAGATGTTATGTATCAGAAATATTCATTTGATTCAAATGATTCTTCTCAGCTGTAATCAGCATGGAACCTGCTGAAACAGGCCCCACGTAATGTACATTCCAGCACGACATATGGTCTGCAGTGTTGATTGATAAACTTGTTTTCCATCTTTCAACAAACTGCTTTTGTTTTATAGGAGAGACAGCGTCATCTGAACATGTTAACCGAAAGGCTTTTGATCTGCCCTGAGAGATTTGGGCTGTAAGACCACGAGGTCTTACATTTTCCCATTAAAATATTATAACTAACGTTGGCATCCAGAGCCAAACATCTTACATTACACGTGCTTGAGGGGGTTGTTTTTTTAAAAAAAAAACTGATTTTCACTGGAGCGCCCAACAATGCATATTTTTTTTCGTTCAGAGAACATGAATTGGTGAAAGAGCTCATTTTCACCGGAGTTAAATTTTCAAAAACTCAAAATCATCAATTTATCGTCAGTGTTTGCGAGCGCGGGGGTGGATTTCGAAATCTGTCTTGCTTGCAAAGCAATGCTCAAAAAAGTAAATTATGCGCACACGTGCATAAAGTTCACCAGGTTGCTATGTCTGTTCTGGGAATTTAGACTGCCAAGTTGCAGAATGTGCATGTTAAGGGGATGTTCCAAAATAAATCACGATTTTCACCAAATTATTATTTTTTTTAATTCCCCTTCTCTTGCCCCATTTTCTTCCACTTTTTGGACCGAGCTCCAAAAAGAGAAATTTCTAAGTTTAATGGTTCTTAGATGCATTTAATATCTCGATCCAGTCAATGACATTATAGTCTTTTAAAATCCGACTGACAGGAATTTGAGGAATAAATTAGGTCACACCTTCTTTCGGAATATCAATGTTGAATATAATTTAATTTTCTGATGTGGTTATTATCTTTTTTAAAGCTTCAACTCTGCATTTCTCACACCTTACCCCAATTCTTTGTTGTGGGCACATTGAAATATGCCTCTCTTTAAAGGTCATTTGAACTTTTCTTACTACAGCAACCCTGGCAATGTGAAACAAATGTTCACTTTTTCCTTTTGCCCAAGAATTATGGCGCCGCATAATATGGTCACTGTGTTAGGCTTTAAGATGCCATCTTGGTATCTGAGGAAGTTCTTGACCAGCTATGCTAAAGCTTAATATGGACATGATTTCAAACATCAGGCAGGATACCAGTGTCTATGTGACAATGCAGAGTTAAATAGGACAAATTGTTTTAACTCGAGGCCAGCAGAATCATGTAGAGAAAGGAAAATGAAGTACAGTAATGTTGAAAACCTGGAATAGATTTTGGAAAAGCTAATATGGAGGAGGAGGACGTTTTAAAGTGCATCACATGATTCACTGTGAAGTGTAGTAACTATGTATTTTGTAGGCAATCAGTGAATAGTCAATTTTATTTGACAAATGTTTGGCCAGAAAATCCAGGAGCTTTAATGTTCACCTGAGCAGACAGAACCTCAATCTAACTGATGGACATTGTAAAGGGATAGGTCGCATCAAACTAAACATGGGCTAGAAATTTTAGAAATATATTGTAATTTGTGCAAAACCCAGTCTGATTATATGCTAAGAAGCTACAAGTTAAACTGAGGTGAATAATCATCCATTCTTCTTTGAAATATCCTCTTTAAATGAAGCCTGCAAAATTAAAACTACAAAACACTTTCGACCTCTCCTAAGTAAAATTATCAAAGTAAAATAGTAAATTAACTGTATTCTAGCTTCTTAGATTGTGCATTTCATTTTACGCAGCTAATTTATTGGTCTTTTGAAGTGATATTATTTTAATCGGTTCCAAAGTACACAGAGCACAATCTTTATGAGTCACATAAAAGGAATAAATGGAGGGATTGAATACTGTATTTGTGCTACCCTGGGACCAAACTCAAGTTAAACAAAAAGTGCAACATATTGAAGGAATAAAACAGGTCGAGATGGTGGGAGGTTGACTTTGCAATTATAACTGACCACATGAAGAGAATCGTCCATCAGGTGGTGAGGTGCCAAAATTCCTGAGCGTCATTTTTACATTTTCTCAGCTTATTTGCCAGCTACAAGGCAGCCTCGGCAAATAAGCTGAGTACAACAGCAGGCTGATCTTACACAACACCCTTCAGATAGAAGAACATCTCAGAGGGCACTGAACAAAGACATTAAGGAGTGGGGTACGGGGAGGTGACCATATGTGTATTGAAGAGTGGGTCATCTTGTACAACCCTTACACACTAGGCATAGTACAGAGCGTGGAAGAATGGGAAATCTTGGATGACAAGACCATGGACTATTAAATGTACATTTGTAATTCTACCAGTCGTGCGTCAATTTAAGCTATGCTTACATAAACACATCAGGGTTTATACCCCACAAAAACCTCTGCCCTTCCTTATCCCATTCTCCATCATGTAAGGATTTTCCACAATCCTGCCTGATTCAAAATTTTAAAGACGAAGGGATCAAATCTTAAAGAGAAAATGACAAGAGGTTAAAACGAGGTGAAATCCAGGCCTCTGACTCATGCTCAAATTATGTTTACAACAGGAGTTGTTTCTCGAGTGTTTTGCTATTTAATTGATACACATGGACGTCACAGACAATGCATCGCTGGTTTCGAGTTATGCTGAGATGAGACTGTACCTTCTGCCAGGCTCCGAAGCCAGCTGCAAACTTCACTCAATAGTGCTCATTGTCTTTTCTAAAATGTTGCCCTTCCGCAATACCTTAACCTCACGTAAGGGTTTGATTCCCAGGCAGGGCGAAACATTGGGCAAATTTCCTTACACCTCCGTTTACCCAGCGGTAAGTAGGAACCTGGGTGTTAGTCGATTGGTGGATCGCTTTTCTGGGGGTAATAATCCCTTCAAAAAAATAATAATAATAATTTGGTCACTCAATCCACGACTGTTTGTGTTTGTGGGACACTGCTGTGCACAATTGGCTGCTACTGTTTGGCCACAAAATATACAGTCAATTCACTTTGCAGTATATTCTGTGATAAGGCGCTATATCAAATGCAAGAATTATTATTATGATGTTAATTTACCTCATTGTGTTCCTGCACCATTCCCTCCATTCCATACTCCCTTGGTACCAAATGCACATTCCTCTTCTCCCCGTTCAGTTAGAAATCTGTCCAGTTTAGCAGAAAAGTATTCACAATCTGTATTAGCATTCACAATCTATTCCACTAACAACAAAAACAACACAGTCAGCCACCTTGGCTTTCTTGGAAGGGCATTATAACAAATGTAAGGATTATTATTATAAGCATACACTTTTAAATGACATACAGCAATGGTAATTATAGCATTTATAATAATCCTTGCATTTGATATAGCGCTTTTCACATCTTCTAGACGTCCCAAAGTGCTTCACAGAATATACTGTAAAGTGAATTGACTGTATATTTGTAGGCGAACGCGGCAGCCAATTGCGCACAGCAATGTCCCACAAACAGTCGTAGATTGAAAATGACCAATTTATTATTGTTTTTTTTGGAGGGATTATTATTAGGCTCTGTGTGGAGTAAGGAAACTTGCCCAAGGTTTCGCCCTCTGCCTGGAATTGAACTCGGGTCTCTCACTTACAAAGCGAATGCTCTAACCACTGAGCTACGGGACTCCACTGCAGCATTTCATCACGCAGTGCTTGCACAGAGAAAGGAGTGTGTACCAATTTTATTTCTAATGTTTTTATTCTTGTTGTTAATGACAGCAGGAGAAACAATCTGTGGGAAAAGTGTGCATGCGATGCGGTTCCTGGGGTAGTTCTATTAGATTGAAACCAGCAGAGAAAGAGAGAGCAATGCTCCAACCTGTTTGGGTGGGTCCTGAGGCCGACAAAGTGGGAGGGTGATTCTCCTGCTGTTTATTGCAAAAAATTTATTCCAGGTATAATCTCACTGTGAAAGCCAGGTATAAAACAGGCAATGTTATTGTTATATTCCGTGTCACCCCACCCGAGACAGGATTTCTTATATCACCCAGGAGAACCATCACAATCCTGACTTTCAAGGGAAACAGATGTGACACGATTGTTGGTGAACTATTAAAATACAGACTTACTCATTTCCCCTTCCCTCACATATCTGAGGGGATGTAATGACCTGCAATTTACAGTGTTCTTCGGGGCAAAATTGAGTCACCGAGTTAACAAGGGCACTCTGCCCACTGCATAAACTTGTCCGCTACATAAAATGGGTGACTTTGAGGAGCTGGAACTCTAAACACCCAAACTGTGTTTAATTTACTGACTGCAAAATGTTTCTATTTTAACAATATAACACACCAATAATTATTTTCCTTCTACCAAAGCTATATTAATAGTCCTGATCCAACTGTAAAGCACTTTGGAACACTACCCTGCATGAGAGGCACTATATATATATATATATACACACACACACACATCCCAACTTCAGTCTCACACTACTCTTTACAGTAAATCCCTGTAAAATGTTTTGAGACATCCTCCAGACATGAAAGGCCATATGGCAAATGCAAGGGTGATTATGATGTACTCACTCACTGGAACTGTCTACCAAACTGTCTTCTTCTTTGCTCCCCCTCTCCCTTGGCCCTGTCAGGACACCACTTCAGGACATTCATCCTATGTGAAAAGCGCCAGATAAATAAAAACACAACGAATTGCATTTAAGAATTAACAGTCTCTCAGAATCTCTTTACAATGTGGTAAAACGGATTATGTGCAATGCTCTATTCTTTCCATCCAGTCATTGATGCTTTGGGAACATTCAGAACAACAACAACAACAACATGCATTTATATAGCGACCTTCACACCGGGTGGGGTCCTGGAGCGCTTAACAGTGGCGGAGTCTGACCCCAAAGCACATGCGGCATTTTGGGAGAGGGGAGAAATGACGGTTTCAGGGAGACTTTGGTTTGGAGATCACGGGGTAAAATTTGCGGTATTTCATGCCGTGTTACAAAATGCCACAAATCACTTGTCCACACACTGTTTGTACAATAAGAATAAATGATGTCTTTGTGTTGCCGCAGTCATAAGCCCTCTCGTTTCTGGAGATGAGATGTTGCAAAATGTATTGCAATGTTGGGAACCTGTATCCTAGAGACTAGCTGAACAGTTGGCAGCGAAATCAAGTCATCAAAGAGTCAAAAATCAGGCCACAGAAAAGCACAGTGGGTGTGGAACAAAAAAAAAAGGAATTTGAAGTCTTCAGTTAGGAATGAGTCACTTCCATTTGTTTAATCATTGATTTGAAATTTACTGCGGCTGAAATGAATGCTTTGCAGGTCACTTCGTGTTTTATGTGTCCTGCAATTTCTTTTCCCCTCCATCATTGAGATTACTACTTCAACAACAACACTACATTTGTAAAGTGCCTTTCATGTTGGAAGGAAGTCCCAAGAAGCTGGACAGTCAGGAATCAGGACTCGAGCGTGTGGGGGGGTGGGGGGTGGGGGGGGACAGGGTTGGGATGAGGGAGGGCAGAGGGGGTAGGAACAACAACAACATTATAGCGCCCTCCACGCCGGACGGCTCCTCAGAGCGCTTCACAGCAACAGATCCCGGGCAGCTGGAGGCATGGTTCAAAGAGGAGGGTTTTGAGTTGTGTCTTTCAAGCCCTTGGTGACTGGAAATGGAAATTTGATGCAAAGCACTGTCACTGGATTCAAAAGCAACTGGCACAAGTTCATCTTCCACACCAAATTCATGCTGAATTACGTAGACTGTTACCGCACAGAAACAGGCCATTCATCCCAAATAGTCTGTGCCAGTGTTTATACTCCACATGAACTCGCACCCATCCTAATTACCTCTCTCATACCTCTCCATTCCCTCATGTACACTTCAAGGCTTCCTCTGAAATTCATTCAGGCTTTCTGTGCTTCTACCACAGTTTCTGGCACCGAGTTCCATATTCTCAACACACTCTACGTAAGGATGTTCCTTACAATGCGATGATCTGTTAGTGGCTATCTTAGATTCCAACCCCCCCCCCCGTTTTGGACTCATGGGATCCTGCTGGCAAAACACATTTTCAATATGCCTAAAGTGAGTAAATAAGAATTAAACAACTTTGTTGGGGGGAAAGAGAGAAATGATTCCAGACAGGGCTATGTCAATAGGTTTTCTGAGTCTGTGTAAATATGATTATATTTACATATGATCAGTGTTAGCTGAATAAGCTCTCTGTTCTGCTTCTCACACTGTCAAACCACTGAAATAACTTTCTATAGCAACTTTTCTTATTATTCTAACACTCAGCAACAGCGCAATGTGACTTCTCCTGAAGAAACCAGAAAAATACTTTGAAGATACCCTTCCTTCTGTTGTCTGAGACCGTTCAAATTTATTACAATATACACACCCATACATGAGAGAAAGAACACACATACCAGCCTAAAGTCACTGCCAATATTATTGAACACTTATTGTGGTTCTCAGATTTGTAATTCATAGAATTGCATGAGATCTACTAATGCTGTGGTTTATCGTCGGAACTGTAGCCTTGTGGCCGGTATGAGATTGGCACGGGATGGGTGGGTAAGTGTGTGATACAGACGTACAGTTGCCAAAAACTCATCAGTTCATGATTCAAGTTGTCCAAATGATCACATGGATGCTCGTTTCAAAAGGAAGTCTCATTAACAGCATCCATTTTACGTTCCACAAAAATGAGTAAAATCGGATTCTGTGCGACAGTCAATTTCACCAGACTTTTTCCATTTTGGTTTCCGAGTGAGATTCCACAAACAGCCGTGGACTCAGTGACCAAATTATTTGTTTATTCATTCATTTTTGAAGGTAAATGCGATCCACCAATTGACTAACAACTGGATTCCTACGTACTGCTAGGGGCTCTGTGTGTGTGTGTGTGTGGGAGGGGGGGGGGTGGGGGGGGGGGGGCTGCGTGCTGCTCTGTGCAGGGATAAAAATCAGTGAAGATTCTGTGACTTATTGAAAAAAAGATGTTGAACCAAATCTGATTCCCTTTGTTTAGTAACGCGATATCGTTAATCTTTGGAGCACACGATCTGGCAGGGTAAGCAATCACAAGGGAACAATGTTCTGTGTCTCGGGGCGAGCCTGCCTAAAGAAATTACCAGTGGATGTGAGGGTAAGAGAACGGTTACACGTGGACATGTCAACAATAGCAGCAAAAAACTTTTTTTTTTTTTTAAATAAAGGGGTCTCTCTCACCTTATATTTTGAAGGAGTGCAGTTTTTGGATTCCTTTTTGAAAACAATTACAACACTGTTAACATTAACATCTATTTCGTCCAGATAAAAGCTTAGCACGAAAAGCTTTGGCAGAGATGCTGAGCTCGGTCCTAAATTTAGCTTTTACTCGTGTGGTTCACTGTGTGTATGTATATATATTTTAGATTATGCTCTTTCACAGTTTTAGTCAATCATCTATTCTCATGATGCGGGGACAAGAAGTTTGAATTAATTTTGCCAGAAACACACGCAGACTGCATATAACATCTAGCACTGTAACACGCAATAGATCTCATTAAATAATTTTTTCATCTCCACAAAACCTGGAGGCAAGTTTTAGTCCAAATGACATTCGGCAGCATTTGATGCTTTTTAGTATTTTTTCTTATTTATTTTTTCCTTACTACTGTATAATTAAAGATCTCACGTTACTTCCAGTAAACTGTAGTATGTGTAATCAGACAGGACTGAAGAAATAACTGTGTGGTTTGACAATGAAAATCATTGCAATTTTCTTTTCTTTTTGACAACCTGACAAATACCAATTCAGGCGTAATAGTGGAAAGGATTTCACTTCTCTGTGAAATAGCCTTTTAAAACCTTTTGCAAATACTGCAGTTACTGGAAATCTGAAACAAAAACAGAAGGAACACATAGCAGGTCAGGCAGCATCTATGTTCTGATGAAGGGTCATGGATCCGAAATGTTGACTCACTTTCCTTTCTCCATAGATGCTGCCTGACCTGCTGAGTGCTCCCAGCGACTTCTGTTTTTGTTTTAAAACCTTTATTAGGTTTTGGAGTTTTAAAGATCCCCTTATAGGTACAGCTGCAGCATTTCTTTTAAACACATGGAAAACAATACATTTGCCAGACAAGCTTGAAACAATTGCTCAATATATCTTGTGGTGCTGTAAATAGTACATTATTATCACGTCCCCATGGCTGTCTCAGAACAGAAGACATTTCCTGTATTTACCAGACATCTGGTGTAATAGGAAGAATTACCTCTGCAGTGGCTATCATTAAAATCATGAAATGTTTACTGCTCAGAGGAGACTGTTGAGACTATTGTGCCTGTGCTGGTTCCATGACTCCAGCTATCTACCCAAATCCCATTCCCTCTAGCCTTTACCTTTTAATACCATCATCTTTAGCCAATTTCTTTTAAATGCTGTCATGAACTTATTTGAACAACATCCTGGAATACATCCATCCTAGAAAATAAAAACCTAAATGGGGAAGAGAAGCAAAGGGACCTAGGGGTACACATATACAATTCACTAAAAGTAGCAACGCAGGTTAATAAGGACATGAAAAAGCAAACCAGCCATATGGGTTCATTTCTAGAGGGATAGAAATGAAAAGTAGGGAAGTTATGGTAAACTTCTATAGAACCTTGGTTAGACCACACTTAGTGTGCAGTTCTGGTACCCACATTATAGAATGGATGTAGAGGTACTGGAGAGGGTGCAAAAGAGATCACAAGGATGATCCCAGAACTGAGAGGTTATACCTATCAGGAAAGGCTGAACATATTATTTATTAGACATCAGGTGATTTTCTTTGAACCCAAAATTTACAATGTTAGGGGCACCAACACCAGATTTTCACATCATTATCTTGAGACAGATGAGCCCGGGAAAATATTTCAGCGATATTTGCATTTAGGCATTGGCAGAAAGCAAGATTGTACCCAGTAGTTACAGAATGGGTCAAATAGAGAATAAGTCCTCACCTTGAATCTCAACCTGAAACCAAGGTCTCATGTCTATGTTCCATAATCATCAACATTTACTGAGTAATTAGCTAGATTACTTGCCACACTGGGCTGTATTACAGACCCACAAGAAAGATCAGAGAATGGCTAAACATATTATACATACAGACAAAGGAAACCTTTCTGTGATCAGAATGGGGTGGATGCAATCCATGGCAAACAGTGGTGGTCTAACCCACTGTGCTCAAGATTCCTTTTCACTTAACATGACAAACAAACATGTGTTGCCACCTTTGCCACATGACTGATGTCAATATATTGTGTAATATTCAACAGGACCCAACACATCAATGACAAAAAATAAGCAGGTGTGAATGAGAAAAAGCTACCCAGCTCGTATAGATTGCCATGACTTTCGGGTCTACGCACAGGATTCCACCAGTCCGTCATTTCCAGCTGTCACCGGCCTTACCACCAAATCTCTTTATTTGTCTGTGGAAAGAGGAATCTGTATCTTGTTGTAGTTTTATGTGCCTGTTTATTCCATACATCATGAGGCGTGAGACTCGAGTGGGATGACTCACACGTGGATTTCTCCCCGCATCCAGCCCTATATTTTGTGAGGCCCTTTTGCAGGGCAGATGCCTTGGGGCCCCTCAATCTTGATCGGTAAATATAGTA